AGATCTAGAACCTGTTTCGGTCCACTTGGAAGTGTGACCCCCAAAGTTTTCTTGGGTCTGTTAACCCTCCATCAAGCATAGACATGTGATGACCCTCAGCTCAACCCATCGATGTCGACTCCGATGGTTTCATGACTGGTTCATGCAAAAAGGATCAGGGTCCATGAGAAGCCTTTTCATATTTATAGATTGTATTCCCAGGTAAAAATCTTAATTGCGCTCAGGGCTCATGACCCTCGACGTCGGCTCGACTTCGTTGCGCGTCGTCGGTTCGAAGTCGGCTGTGAGTGGAGGGATTTAGGTTTCCAGGATCATGCCCAGATGTTTTTGAGGCATGATCCTTCAAGAAAATTCCACATGCCCCAACATGGATGTTTTTGAGGCATGAGCCTTCAAACTCCAAGTTTAGACAAGTGGTCCAGGTTTTCAATTTGGAGCAGGGATCCGAGGGTTTAAGGTTTAAATTGATGTTGATATCTCCTTAGAAGGGGTTGAGCCCTCTGTGACAAGGGTTTGTGACCTCAAAACCCTTGTTTTTTGAGGGTGCGGATACGTAGGGTGGATCATTTATCTGCTAAGGAGTTCTGGGTGCCCTCTCCAGCCCACTCCACCCCACCACCAAGCCCAGCCTGGGAGTAGTCCCAAACCACCGACCGACTCGAACCCAATCCGACCGAGTCCCGATCGACACCATGGTGTATATAGATGCATTTATGTAGGGCAGGTTTGCCCCTCTGTTCCCTTTTTGGGGGCCTGGGCTGGCTGAAAGTTGGTTTTCCAGACATGGTCCCATGTTTATCTCCATTGCAATGGATAGCCGATGCCTGGCTAAAAGCCAATTATCCAATGACCTTGGGGCAGGTTTGCCCCTATAGGCCTAGGGCCCAGGGCGGCCAATAGATTTTTCTCATGACCCTCCACCCATCCCAATCGATCGTCGATGTCCGCACGAAGGGGTATGGGAAGAGCTTTCACTGGGTCAAATCGTACATGGTACATAAAAACTATGTAGAGATCCCATTTTAAAGACCCTCCGCCCATCCCAATCTGCCGTCGATGTCAGCACCCAGGTATATGGATTCAGGTCTATAGTACTAGTCTGTATATTTTTAGGTCGACGCTGCAGTTCAATGACCTCACCTTTCTGGATATGTAAAATTAGCGTTATTTTCAATGGGTCAGGGTCCATCATGACCACTATCATGGCCCTCCACCCATCCCAGTCGATCGTCGATGTCCGGACCGATGGGATTATGGGTTCAGGGAGATTCTAGTCCCTATATCTGGCTCAAAGCCAAGACCTGTAGGGGAGAGTTGCCTCTGTATATTTTTTAGGCCAGGGTGCTTGGTCAATGACCTCACTTTTACTGGACCTGGTCAGTACTATGAGCTTTAATTTTACTGGGTCTTTGGACATTTAATCATGGTCCATCATGACCACTATCATGACCCTCCACCCATCCCAGTCGATCGTTGATCGTCGATGTCCGGACCAAGGGGTATATGGGTTCAGGGAGATTCTAGTCCCATGTTGGACATGTAGCTGTGACCCCATTCCCTGCAAGTCTGAAGTGCAGGTTTAACGAGGTCATCTGAGAACGATCACGTTTTAATTAAGACAGGCCACATGGCCACCCAAAGCCTAATTTTCTGGGAAACCCCAACCCTGATCCCATTTTGTTGGTGTGATTGACCCCCAACCAGCATCCCATTCGATCGATGGAGAGGAGAGGGGGTCTAGCTTCAAGGTGTTGTGGTATGGTATATAGATGTCACTTTACTAAAATTGGATCATCTGTTTGGACAATTCTTCTGGAATAGAAGTTCTTTGGAGGGCTTCCGATATGGTTCCCTGAAGCTTTTGCGACATCCGTGACTCCCTGCCCCACCCTTCCAACCAACCAACGATCGATGCAATGGATCGACTCAACCCAGTTTTAGGTCTGACTTTAAGGTCTGATATCTGTGCAATTTAGTTATCAAAATCAATTTCACCCGTGACATGGACCCACCTGTCAGATCGATTAATGGACTGGACATCGAGTTGGACTCACCTGCTGCAGGACCGAACACTGGGCAAGTGGCTTCAAGCGAAGATCCAGGCTGGCAACCGCATGTGGCCAGATGACCCCTTGCTGGTGATGAATCCACTGGCTTCGTCACTTAGTCTTCAAAATGAGTTTGCCAGCTGGGGCTGGTTAGACCCCCAAAACCCATCCCAACCACCTTCTCAGGAGGTGGGCCAGGAGCCCTAAAAAATGGTCCAGAGACCTTTGGATGGAGCCAGAGAAAGTTCCAGTGACTGTTCCAATTAGCCGGTCGGTCATATGGCACCAGGACCCTGCTTTGGGTTTCGACCGTCCGGTCTGTTCCTGAGATGATGTTGCCAACCTCATTCTCTCCTTGCCCAAGGCAAGCTCTTTGTGAGTGGTTTGGCCTTTCTGAGAGATCTACGGTTCTTGCACCATAGCCTGAAGTGACAGTGGTGGGGGGGTGGCAGGACATGTTCAGTAGCTCTTTGTGAGTGGTTTGGCCTGTGTGAGAGATCTGGACGGTTCTTGCACCATAGCCTGAAGTGGTGGGGGGGTGGCAGGACATGTTCAGTTCCAATGTTCTTTCACTGATTGGGTGGCCTTTTTGGGTGATGTTAAAACTTCCATTCAAGCACACCAAATGGCAGGTGGCTAAGCCAAGAACTGTGGTAGTATGTGGTAGGCATTGTCTTCAAAGATTCAAGAGCACACATGTAGGCATCAATGATGCCAGAAGTTATCAGAGATCACTTTGATTGCTCAGGACGCAGGATCAGGCTGATGCCATCCACAGTGCTGGGAAGCGCTTTCTGCACCACCACATCGGCTGCCTCAAAATAGCCAACAGGACTTCCGTTGAGGGGGGCGTCGAATTTCCCTTTATCTTAAAGACTTCAACGGCCCCTTGAGACCTGAAGGGCCATTTGAGACCTCAAGGGCCCTTCGCCATTGTTGAGTCAGTTGTGAGGATGGGGCTGCAGTGCTGGTTCTTGAAGCCAAAGGCACACATGTTCTGCCACGTTTTGGCTCGCACCAACAGAGAGCGATTCTTGGCTGAGTGTGTCTTTGGATGACATTGACTGGTCTTTCCTCTAGAGGAGAACTTGATTTGCAGGTTTGAGCTGGTAATTCCAAGTTCAAAGAGGCTTCACTGGTCTTTTGGGAAGAGGTTTCTGTGGTCTTTTGGGTCGATTAACCTGTTCTTTGCTCACTGGAATTGAGCATCTCAGGACTGAACTCGAGGTTCTCGCATTGCTTCTCAGAAGAAGACACCATCGGGATGATCAAGAAGCTGTCATGTGCAATCTCTGGCAGACACATGGAAAAGTTCCTGGCCAAGATTGCGAGGCTCTGCTTGAAGTATGCAAAGGCACGCATGCGCAGGACAGTTTGGCTCTCTGATTGCATAGTACCATTCAGGTTGGTTACTCATTCTGCAGCATCTTCTTGTTCTGAATTTGGATGGCATGCGGCCAAGCCAAGAACCGCAGCTAGGAACCAAGAATTTGCAGTTGGATGGCAAGCGGCTAAGCCAAGAACCGTGCTAGCATCACTAGCATGAATGGAACTGGACTTGCTCTAAAATTGTTTTCCCTTTGCATTTGACTTGTGGCAGGATCGATATGGATGTGGTGTGGCGACGATGACATGGCAAGGACTGGCAGTTTTAGCATCTTCTGATGGCAAGCGGCTAAGCCAAGAACCGCAGCTAGGACTATAGAATATGCAGTGAACATGTGAAGGTTCACATACAACATCACACCAGGAGGTAACGTAACGTGATTTTATGAATTTGGTTACTGTTTTGAGTGTTTTTTCATCGATTTGTGCAGGATCTATGTGGGCTCTGGTGGCGACGCCAGTGTGGTTGAGACAAAAGGGCGGTTTTTCCGACAAACGCGATGACCTCGTAAAACTTGATCGTTCCCAGATGACCTCGTTAAACTTGCACTTCGGACTTGCAGGGTATATATATATACATACTCACACACACACATATATATATAAATATATATATATATGTGTATATATATATATATGTGTGTGTGTGTGTCCAAAGTTCAGTTGTGTGACGTGCATCATCAACTCCCTTCATAAACACTCAAAAACTAATTACTTTTCGTAAGCGCAGGAGGTCCTGGGAGTGCGCCCTAAAAACGGTCCGCTAATCTCGCTCAGCAGTTGTCAATAATAGTTCTGCGTATTCCACCCTTGTTGCTTGGAGTTCCAACCTCCGCCTCCCCAAAACTGTTGACCAACTTCCCCTTGTTTCTGGAAGTGTCGGTACTTGTAAGAATTGGCTTGCTGCATCACAGCGAAGGAGGTGAGCGCAGGAGGTGGGTTCATTTCCATTGAGATCACAGCGTCGTAGGTGAGCCTCAAGCCGGTCTGCCACTGCCCGTAGCCCAAGAGGAATTCAAAGGTGATTTCCTCGTCCAGGTTCACCTCCAGGCTCTCATCAGCCTCATCCTCGTCATCCTTTTCTTCCGGTTCTTCCACGAAGAATGGTCCCATGATGACATCTTTTGAAGGCTTGCAGAACTTGGACACAAGCGTGCCCAAGCCCTCCTTATAGACAGCTGCCAGGCCCATGCAAGCGCAGGCCGCAGGGATCACAAGGCCCGAGCCTGGCAGCACGCTGTCAAGCCCGAGCATGCTTCACCAACCGCCGGCGACCCCCAGGGGCAGGAAGGCCACCAAGCCTTCAGTGCCAAACCCCATATCACTGCAGTTCATCTCCGCCCACACCTGGAAAAAGCTGCGTCCGAGCCATTGTAGACTAGTATGCACAACACAAAAAGTTGCTTATGCACCCCTTGCGCGCGGCCTACGCGCACGCGCACGTTCGCGGAATTTCTCCCCCAAGATTGAAGGAAAACACATGCATATTGGTTTTTGAATATGATGCCACGTGCTTGCACAATGCTGAAAAGCCTCTCACGGCCAAGGAAAAATAACTGCGCAAAACCATTTACGCAAACGATTCACAAAAGCGGATCCTGCAATTGTAACAGCAAATCACATACTACAAAAAGCCTTCAACAATCTTCAACATGATAAAGCTTACGCAACTCACCGTTTTACTTACGCGCACTGCTCCTATGCACTAGGACCATGCTCACCTGGAAAAAGCTGCGGCCCAGCACTACTCGCTTGGCGATCGCCTCCAAGTCCCTGGTGCTTGCCCGTTGATCGCAGGCCTCCAAGAGCTTGTCCGAGTTTTGCATCAGCAGGCACACGCAAAGCCGCCGCAGATCTCGAAAAGGGTCACTCTCGTCCACTTTCACCTTGAAGAGAATCCGAATGAGTCTCTGAAAGTTTCCCATGTGCTGCGGCTGGGGATCCCAACCAAAGCAGAAGAAACTCCGCAACCACTGATCTACGATCTTCAAGAGACTTTCCTCAAAGCCTCGTTGTCTCAGGGCGGCAAAGGTGACTGGGCAAAAATGCCGGTAGCTCCTCAGCACCTGACGGGCCTGCTCCTGACTGCGTTGCTGCCCATGAGTTTCGTCGTCAACCTCGGGCCGCAGCAAGCGCTTCCAATAGAACTTCTCTAACATGCGGATCAGCAATGCATAGGTCTTCATCTCCGACTCCGTCATGGACAACAAATTTGAAGAGAAGATGGTCAGATCCTTGTCATAATCAAGGTACTTGTACTTCTTATAGAGTGCAAGGTGTACTCGTCGAAGTTGATGGCGAGCACCGATGAAGGCGTAGTTTGGATGTTTCAGCGGAAAGTGGTGAGCTTCACCTCCATAGACCTGGCCAATTGGGTCATCCAACGCCAGGGCGCGACCGAGAGTAATTTCCACTGGCACCTCGTGAGGGCCTACTCGGTCTCGCTTGTAGTCTGTGCAGGCTTCATGAAAACCGGAGACCACATCTGCCCAGCAAAACTCATGAGTGTGTGTGTTTTTTTTTGTGGAGCTGCAGCGTTCCGGGACCTTGAACTTCTCCTGCAGCTTTCCTCCGACTTGCCCCTTCTTTTGACTTACGATGGTCTCGATGGAGTCCAGTTTGCCCTTCTTTGTGCAAGCCATGTTGCCCAGCCACGTTTGCAGCTGGGTCTTAGAATCTGTGCTGCCAACTTTGGCTGAGATTTTAGAGCCAAAAATGGTGGCGCAACATCCGCGAGTCAACCGCCACATGCCATGAAGAAACGCCACATGCCATCACCCCATAAGGCCATTGTCCATTTCGAGCCCCCCCCAAAAGAGGCCACAGGGTGAACAAACATGGGACAAGTGTTTCTTCCACCTGAAGGGACAACTCAAGTGCATTACTGTATATATACGAACAAAACTCTTTTAGTCTTCACTCCCTTCTTGATCGAAAACAAGTATATATATATAATGCAAAGAACGTACAAAAACCACAGAAGCAAGAAAAGAAAGAAAGGAAACAGTAGAGTTAGAGCAAACAACACAAACAGCAAAAGTAGGAAAAGCAAAGAAAGCAAGGAACAAAAAGCAAGACAAACTCAAGGCTTGAAAGCAACAAATACAGAGCAACGGCAACAATGGCCATGGAAAGCACAAGCGCCTAAAACAAGGAAACATAAGGAAACAATACGTCACAAGAAAACAAGAAGCAGGAAAGCAGTAGAAAAGCAAGGAAAGGCAAAACAGCCCAAAAAACGCAGGACAAGCACGAAACGCTGGAAAAATCACAAAGAAGCAAGGAAAAGCACTTCCTTTTTACTTGGAAGCTATCCGAGGTTTGTGGTCGCTAGCTAGGCAAGCAAAGCAAACACAAAAAAGCACGGAAAGCCAGAAAAACCCTAAGACTCACATAGAGAACATGGAAAGCCACCGACCCAAATCCACGAAAGAATTGCAGGTGACCTGATGCGACCTAATGCAAACCACTGATGTGACCTGGCTGCATCTGGCCTTTCTCTTCCTCCATTTTGGAGGGGACGAGGGGACTTGCAGATGTCCACCTTTTTTTGTTTCGGGGCATGGGAAGAGAATCATCCCTATAGGGATCCAGTCGTGCCTTCTCAGGAGGCGAGAGATGAGACACTGAGACATGTAGGTGCCAGGAGGCTCCAGTCGTACCGAACCTGAGAATCATAAGACCACCACCTCCCTCTTTCTTCATTTCTTCCTCACGTCTGGGTCCCTGAAAACGTGCCAATTCCGTCAAATTCCCGTGTCGCTGTGTTCATTCGGCCCAGGTGCGTCCACGCGGATGTCCACCAGACGGTTGATCCTCCTCGCCCACTCGCGAAGGCCTCGGGACCGAAGCCGATCCCGTCGGGGACGGTCGGTCGAAGCCGGTCGCGGCCGAAAAAGCCAAGCGGTTCTGACAACTGACCGTGGTTCTGACGATGCGGACAACGGATACTGATCCCTGAATCAGGACAAATGTGGCATTTGAAATAGTAGGGATCACATAATGTAAATTAACAAATGTAACTCTACGATTTTTCTTTCAAGATGTTTGTATGAATCCTCTACTCGCTGGCAATGGCAAGGCAAAATCAACTCCCATTCTCTTTAACCCGCAGGAAAGCAAACCTGGAACAGGGACCAACGGAAGAGACGGAGAACGAGTTCGATGCTTGGCCCACACGATACCGTGAACAGTGATCCAATCGTCGAGTGTCGCCGCCCAGAGTCACGAACCCATCTGAAAGCGTGAATCATCAACACCAAGGAACAATTATATTAGGATCGTGGCCGTTCAAGGTCCTGGCAAAAAAACCTCCCCAGTTAAAGAGGAGAAATCCTGCACACCCTCCAATGTCCAAACATTCGCAGGGAAACTACTGTAGTACGCTCCCAAACACTCCATGGGACTGCCATGTATGCCGAGAAACGGCCAGGGGTGGTTGACCGGGGGTCAAGATCGCCATGGCAGTCGCACCGGTCGTGTCTGGGATTGATACATTCCGTGGTTACTCGACACCCATTCTCACCGGGCATCCGCAAGCCCCGAGGGCGCGACAGGCCAGGCGCCGATTGTCCCCGGTTTGTAGCTTTCCTTCCGAGCTCTGGTGGTGGCACTGGGGTAGGTGGAGGCACTCAAAACCGCAGCCTGCGAGGTCCTTTCTGCAAATCATGTCCGAGTTCACAAGTAGATTCCAACCCTCAATCCATCATGATATCTGACCGAACCTGCCGACCTTGTCTATCTTATCTATCCTTATTATTTCTTGAATACTTGAACATGAACGTCCCAACCAGAGTGGATGGTATATGGTCAAAGTCAATCTAAACCCAAGATGATTGGTTCGCCTGCAGCTCAAAGCTTCAGTGAAACAAACACACAAGTCCCAAAGCATGTGCTCGCAACTGGAGGATGCTCGCGTCAAATCCTGCCGCACGTCTGCCGCCCGTCTCTGCATACGTCGTCGCCGAGGTCCCGCCGCCGTCGGCGAACGCCCGGTCGAGCCACGCCTTGCAGCACAATACACTTGAGAATGAGGAACTCATCTTTCAGCGGATCCGCCTGCAAAGGTTGAGGAAACCCAAACTTGTTTTAGGCACGTGGCACGATGAATGACCACATGACCAACACAAAAGGGAGTCATTAACAAGAGGACAGGCATGGCACATCATGGCACAATCTTCACGCATATGTGATGTCATTTATAGTTTGTTTCTGGCCGTGCAGCCTTAAAGAGCATGACAAACTCTGGAATCATGAGTATTTGTGAAGTCCTCTTGACAACCACCAGGCAGGAGTTGGCATGCCCTCCATACCAGCACCACCGTAACAAACACCACTGGCATTGCACAAACGGTGCAGGACAGCATTCTAAGTATGTAGCGAAAACGTGTGAAACACTTGAGACTCCCCATCTTGCCCATGAAGAAACCATCTCACAAAATCCTCTATGGTGAAATTCTACTGAACAAACCACCTCACAGAAACGTTCCTCCCAATCCACATCATCTCCATCTCACATCCGCATCGTTCGACGCGCTCCACGGTGTTCGACGCGGACCACCGCTTGCACGGAGGGTCCGTATGACTCCGGTAGCTTTCAGGGCAATGCTTTGATTGCCCCGGGAGGACCGCCAAGGTTTCAGGGCGACCCTGGTCGCCACCGCAGTGAACGCCGCTCCCAAGCAGTGGCATGCTGTTCCTCTGGAGCGAAATGGCCGACCGAGCTGGTGATCGGGTCAATGTTGGGGAAAAGAACTGAAAGACACTGCAATGATCCTGAAATGTTTCTATTGATTAAGCCCTAGGGCTCCAACTACATCCTCAGGTGACCGGTATTCGACCCGCCTGGCACCTACCCCTGTCCCACCAAACCGGTTCCTCGAAGTGCTAACTGATGAGGTTTCTTAGCTTCCAGAAGTGCACAGCAAACCGGGTGTAGCCCAGAAGTTGTCCACTGGCCTTCACAGGATTGAGAGTGGATGGTACGAACCCCGTACGGTCAGTGGTACTGTCAGTGGTTTCAGTGGTTTGACCAGCATTTTAAAAGATCATCTTAGGGGATTTTGGGGGGTCTGCGGGCGCCTCAAACTGCCACCACGGAGCTTGTGCTATGCGTGGAGCTCGTAGCGCTCGACCACGCTGAGCGGGCTGGGTGCTGTGCTGCCGCGGTCCGCTTGGCCGCCCAGCACCAACCTGAGCTGAGTGGCCAGCATGACCAAGCTCCGGAAGAGTTGCCTGGGAGAGTGCCATGCAGTGGTTAGTTTAACTCGCAAAATGACTTCGTTACTATTTTGGCTGAATATATGCAACATAATGCTACTTCCAGGGTTGACCAAACGCAGTTCTAGCATACACCTCTCAAGCAAGGGTTGCAGGGCAGGCATGAGTTCCCCTCTACTTCCGCCATAATGTAGACCCTTGATTAATCATCCCCGCATTTGGATTGAACCTCTTCATAAGAGGGCGTGAAATATGATCAATGCCCTAAATTCGGGTGTGCCTTTGAATAGGGGGCACTCTCCAACCAATGTTTTTTTTGGTACATGTTCCTTCTTCCACTAGGGTCTTTCGTGGTGTCACTCTATTTTGATATGCACCCATTTCACCCATCCCCCCCAAATCGGCTCCCTGGCAGAGTCTGCTCGTCCAGCGCGGCGGCCGCCAGCGCGCTGCGCGACGGGAAGGGCAGCGGCGCGCAGTCCGTAGCCCACGGAGCGGCGGCACTATGGGGCCAATAGCGCTCGACCGCACTCAAGGCGGCACCTGCAGGACAGAGGCTGCCGCGGAGGGCGAAGCGAAGCGAAACAAACACGGAGCCGGGTCCGACAGTCCGGTGTTCTTGGAACTATATAGGTTCTAAATGGCCTTTTGGGAGGGGGGGTGGGTAGGATTGGGATCGAAGGGTCTGGATCCAAATGATCTTCCGGAGGGAAAACAGAGCACTGAGGTTTGGATGCCTGCTCCGATCCACCTTCTTCAGTGCTCCGGGCCAATCCTCCGTGCTCCGGGTCACCTCGGCGCCCGCCGATGGCCAAGAGCACCCCATGGCGGCCGCCCAAGGCGCTGGCCGCGAGGCCTGGAAGATCGCAAGTGGAGAAGGTGGTGCAGAGTGTAAGGATTTTTGACTTAGCAGTCTTTTCATCCGGTTTCTGGTTGCCATGTTGGTGGCACTTGGTGCCTGAACATTCTACTGTCAATTGGGATGAAGTGAGGTCTGAGAAGTAGCTGTGACAGCGCAGTCTGGCCAAACGCGCGGCGGAATTGCATGAGGGGTGAGACCCTACCATCCCGGCTTTGGGTGTGTCACCCAAGAACTGCAAGCACAAAGACACTCCATGTATGCCATATATGCCTACATTAGGGTGGTTTGGGGGGTCAGTGTAGGCATATATTTCATACATGGAGTGTCTGGGAAAGGAACACAATTAACATGTAGTCAAGCTAACAAATATAATCAGATCATTCACACTGAGGCAGGGCAAGAGATGAGCTTTATGGATTCCATCGCTTCTCCCATCTGATTTGAGGCTTTGGTACGGCTTGACCATGTTTTACCATGTTACTATAGTAGCTTCTTAGTTACTAGTAGTCATGGCCTCCAACCTACTAGCGATGGCCTCCAACCGTGCGTAGCGTCCTTCATGGTTTTGACCTCCAAGTGGTGCACCCAACGTCTAAAGCTCCGGTCGTCCAGCGGATGTGCTCACCCCGACGTACGTAGCCTTGTCGAGCCGTGGGCATGGGTGAGACGGACATCCAGGAGCCCATGCGCACGTTCAAATGCCTTAGCCGGTGGGTCAGGTCATTTCGTCGATGCGTCAGCTCCCACACCTGCCACACCTCCACAAGGTCCCATAAGCATGTTCAAACGAAGGCTGAAGTTGAAGCAACATCTTGAGTGATTTGGACTTCCTTACCGCACCCAAAGGAAGACGGGACCATAGTCGACCATAGCAGCCATAGGTCGTGCAGTGCTGTTGAATGTCAACGGTAACGTGTGTTTGTTGGCATTCATCAATGAGGTCGATGGACAACTACTAAAAAAAATAAACAAATAAACACAAACACACAAAAAAAAACGGAGGTGGGAGGAACTTTTAGTACAGGGCTGATAGGCTGCGGAACTTGTGCTGCACTAAATTCACATGGATTTGATCATGTGTATGTATACTATGAGATGCCTGCGGGTGCCTACAAAATCTGGTGTTGGGAGTTTTTCCCCTCAAGAAGGATGTCCGTGCCATCCAAATCCACCGCACCTTCTGTGGCTTCCACCCCAAGCTGCTCCACCCGCGCGGAGGCCGCGCCGGTGTTGGCCTCGGCACCGCCTAGGGCATAGAGCCCGTCCAGCACAGCAGTGGCCAAAGCACTGCGGGGGCTCAAGAGGCTGGGTGCCGGGCGCCAAATACCTGGCGCTGGGTCCAAAAAGGACTCCATGGTCTCTGTCTTCGAGTTCTTCTGCAGTGGCTCTAACTGGCCCCGGCACTTGCGAGGAATGGATCTTGAAGCATCTTGAAATACCTTTGGTGCATCTTCAGCTTTGCATGGTTCAGAATGATCTACGAGCATTCTTCCCTGCAAATCCTTCTCTAACTCCTGTTTGGGAGATGGAAAGAGTTGGTGAAGGCTGCTGATGAAGGTGTCCTATATAGGGAGCTGATGGATCATGCAGCTGTGAGGCAGGGAGATTTGTTGGGCTGTGCTACTCAGGGTCAGCCAGCTAAACATGCCAACGGCCAACTCAAGTTCTGAAAGCCATATTGTTGAACGACAAGTGCAAGAAACAAGTTTGACCAACAAACCAAAACCCCGATGGTCTATATACCAAGAATTAAGGCTTCCAAGTACTAAAGCACATAAAAAGAATCACAAGCAACAACCGATGTCTCATCGCCCTCCCTCCTCACCTCCCCAACCCCCACGCTCCGGATTCGACCGGATTACGAAATACTGTGCTTCCATCGCCAAAACCAGGAACTGGTGGATACGATGAAAGAAACCCCAAACTGGGGAGGTGAGGCGAAGCCGGCGAAGCAATCCAAAAGACATGGATGGTACCTCATCACCGCAATGGATGGCCAGGTGGAATGCTATAAAAATACCAGGCCCACCCAATGGACACCCATATTGGGCACTACTTAGATGTCCATTGGACACCCAAACAGGATGGTCCAGGTATGATGAATTAGTTAACATGGTGAAGAAATGCTCGCAACTGCCACTCCCACTGTTGAGGCGCCTTCGCGTGGGTCCATGCATTCCACACTCTTGAGGCGTCGACCCTCGGTGTTGAGGCCACCCACCACGTAGATCCGCCCCTCGTGCGCCGCCGCGGCATGGTACGCGCGCGGCACCTGCAGCACCGGTGGGATGAAGCGGTCCAAGGTGGGAAGCAAATGAAAGGATTGGAGCTCTTGGGCATGGAGCAAGGGCTGTAGATCCTCCTGAAGCCCCCTATGAATCATCCTTTGAATCAGCTGTCAGAATAACAGATCTAGAACGAAACGCCACAACATCTACTTAGTATCCTGCATGCATGTGTATATTGACAGTCTACAGTTACAGTAGTATTTGGATGCATTGGGCTTCTGCAACTACCAAACAGGAGACTGTGGATGTGACCAGCCCTCAATCATTGGATGCTAAGATGTGGGGTTGGAGCGGAGCAACAATCTCTCTAAAGCGCAGATGGCGCAAACAAACGGAAGCATCATGAATAAGAAGTCAAACAGGCGTGTGATGGTGTTTTTCTGTGTGTCAATATGTTCTAAAAATGTTGATCGCTCATGATCATCCCAGAGTTATATTGAACTACTTACCTATACAGAGTGATCATCCCAGAATACCTTATTGAACTACATACAGAGTGATCATCCCAAGAGTTATTGAACTTGCTACCTCTGTACAGTGGGATATGACTATTTACCTTGTCAGGGCCCGGGCCCCCACGACCGACCTGGAAAGGCGCCACATCCACCTGAGGGCGCCGGCGTCTTTCGGAGCGGCTGGGGCGTGTTTGGGGGAGCGGCTGGGAGATGATTTCTCCGAGGAATAGACATGTAGATATCATTAATTTATGTATATAATTAACATATAGTTGTTTGAAATGTGTCGATATACGTCTCATTACAGTACATATAAGTCACAAGTCCAAGCAATATTTATATACATACAAGTCATATCGAATCACTACAACCTCCCGAAGAAGAGCAAACTCACGACTTGGCCCTTCTAAACGTCCCAAATTGGAAAGAAGGCACAAAACTCACCATTCACCCATCCTCCCCCCACCCTGCTCCGTTTTCCAGGCATTCCAGGCCACCCACTGCTCAGTTCCCACATCAAACATCTCCACCGTCGCCACTACACTGCTCCGTGTAGCGCTCCAGGATCCCCCCAGCGCATAGACATGGCCACCAGTGGCTGCGGACGCCAGCGCTTGACGTGGTGTGGACAAGGGCGGCAGGGCGGTCCAGGTGAAGGAGCCTTTGTCAATCACCTCAGGGGTCTCGGGGAAAAGAACACAAACATATTTTGGATATTCTGTCCACTGTTTCGAGGTTCCAAGGATCGGGGAAAAATCACCCTAAGCAGAACCAGGACATGGCTGTGGGAGTGGCTGTGGGATCAATGATGATCCGTCTGAAAACCACGCCTGTACATGAGGGCATGTCTTGAGAAACATGGTCCGCTTGCAACTGCTAGCATACCCACTCGCGCAAGCTAGGGATTCCATTCCCTCCAGCATTCCTTACGTCCATTGACGACCCAAATATTATCTGTGGTCACGTGCTATGTGGAGCGGTTTTTGATGGTATTTGAGAAATCTTTAAGTCAAAGTGTAGAAACAGCGTCCAGGCAAACGAAGTCCCGAACCAAGTGAAAGCGAGGTCGAAGCGGAACGAACCGCAAACACGCGCCGGTTTTCCTCAAGCTTTGAGCCCACCCAGCTAAGGGCGGTATGAGTTGGTTCAAACCTGATCGCTCAGCGAGCGATTCACACGGGGAGGAATGGTTCATCTCAACCCGCTGGAAAACGAATCGTAGCTCATCTGCCACGATTGGATGTCGTGCCTCAGGCACCACCCCCTCGGGTAGACCATGCGATCCGGAGGGGTTCCTCCGGCTGCACAGTAGCAGCAGCCCTTCAGCACCAGCCGGTTGGCTTCGCACAGCTGCTCCGTGATGTGGCAATCACGGTGGTGCCAGCAGATGCCCTTCTTGGACAGATAGATCTCGTGGTTGAAGGGACACTTTTCAGCATGGTCATCCATCTCGCGCTCCAGTGCGCGAATAAGGGACTGGGCATTGAGGGCGAGGTCACTCAAGGCGTAGACCTCTTCCTGGGAGCGTGCCTGTGCAACCCTTGCCTCTCGGGCTGCTTCGAGGCTGTTGTTGGCTTCGAACTTGGAGATGCGTAGCTCATCTCTCAACTCACGAACTTGTTCTCGAAGCCTCTGACTCACGATGGGCTCATTCTTTTGGATGCCAATGTCATACTTGATGACAGGCTCAGCGCTTTTGCCGCCAAGGTAGCGGCCAAGAAGGAAAACTCCAGCCATGGCAATCAGCTGCAAAGCTAAGCAGCTGAGAATCCAGAACCAAAGAACTTGATCTTCTTCTCGATTCGGCTGCCCTGCACAGGTGTCCTGGGCAGCAGTCAAAGTCGGCGCCATCAGCGCCAGCAGCAGCAGGACATACTTCATGCGACTGTGGAAGTCATAGTCCTTGCGGCTTGCGACATGGCTTGAGAGAAGCACATACTCAAGGGGCTTGACATACTTGGCCACAAATGCATACTGTGTGGCGTGTTCATTCTTTGAGTGGTGCTCATTCGGTAACATGTGCAGGTTCTCATGGGCTTCAAAGGGGTCAGGCATGTCCTCGGTAGCCTGAAGGTGCTCATCCTCATAGGCGTTCACATTCTTTTGCTTGTGGGCCTCTGGAGTGCTTTCTGCTATTGCAGCGGCCCGTTGCCCTTTTGTTTTCCGCTTTGCTGCCTGGTATGTTGGATCCCAGGTCATCTTCAATCTTCCATGTCGTAGTCGGGCGGAAAGGAGGACACGAGCACTGGTCTTTGTCAGACCGTCTGCAATTTGTCTTTCTGAAGACATCCAGCGAAGGCTGCCGTTGAGCTCCGTGACGCGCTCCTTCATCACGCGGATTTCCAAGCTAACCCGTTTGTCGACCACGGAGGAATTGATGCCTTCTCTGTGAAAGGAATCATACAGAGCCTTGGCGTCAGTTACCAGGATGGGCTTGAGGCTGGAGGGCATTTGGATGAGGTTCTTCAACGTGATCTTGGGATCCATCAAATGCTCCCAGTAGCGGCAGGTAAAGTCGACCGCATCAGCAGCTTGCCCACCTGATTGTGCCTCTGCAGCCAAAGAGCTGCGGGCCACCCTCGGCGTCCGAAAACTCCGCCAATCCACAATGTGGTACTCCCCTTCTTCTGGTGAGTTGACCAGCTTCTTGTTCATCAACATGGAGATGTAGCCACCCTGAGAATTGCCGTCCGTGCGGCTTGCAAAACCAGCATCAAAGAAAGTTACCAGTTGCAGTTCCAAAGGGTGACCAATGTAGTTGTACAACAACATCTTTGTTGTCCTTACTGAAGCGCAGGAGCTGGTTGCATTCATGCAAGGTCTGCACGGTGGCCTTGGTGATCTGGCCTGAGAGCATGGATGTGGAGCACTGCAAGTGTGGTGAACTCTGAACTGCGGGCCATTGTAAGGAACCAAGTAGGCCACGAACTTGTGTGATTTCTCTTTCATGCAGTGACTCTGACATGGCTCTCTTCTTGTCGAAGGTGATGGGCGAGATCTTGGACATGTAGTTGCCCTGATGCAGCTTCCGGCCTCCTTCTGGTGTGGACTGTAGCTCGCAGCCACAGTACTCGAGAGTCTCGAGGTCTTCCTTCCACTCCCGGAAGGAGAAGTTGTTCTTCAGGTCCTTGATGACCTCCTGGTAGCGAGGAGACAAGGTGCAGCCGCTGCCCAACATATCATCAACATGCATGATCACCATTCCGACCAAACGTTCAGGTCCAAGGCTGCTCACCTGTTGGTGTACCTCATCTTTCTCATCATAGGTTTTGCTGTCGGTCTCATAGATGAGGAAGCAGCAGGGGTCCAGTGGATGTTGGCGTAGACCAGCACGGAGAAGTCTGTCCACTGCTTCAAGGAACCATCCTCTTGGGGCGTCGATCTGCCCGTAGCAGGGTTTGAGCAACAGCATCCTGGAATCCTCATCAGCGCCCAGGAGTTGGGTGCATTCGGCGGGAAGCTTGACCCACAGTTTGCGAGTCTGTGGTCGGCCTTGTAGAAAAGCCGTGGACACGTTGGCCGTCCAAGTGTTCCACTTCATGTTGGCGGCCAGGGACAAGATCATGCTGCGGCTCAAACGTGTTGTGGTAGGACTGGATGTGGCCACAGTACCCTCAAGTGCATCGGGGTCGTTGTATCCTCGCACGATCAAGCGAGCTTTGGCCCGTGGACTGCCGTCGGGGTGTTTGGACCACTTCAAAATCATCCTGGAGGTCAAGGTTCTTGCAGGATCCGCTTCGTCCTTGTGCTGGAAGGTCCATACACCATGGTCGAAAAAGGACTTCAGTTCTTTGACCTTTGCCTCCTTGAAGAGTGCTCGTTCGTCAGGTCCAAGTAGGCGTTCATTCACCCCGTTCTTGTCCTTCTTGAACTTCTTTGTGCGGGCCAACTTCTGGCTCTTTGCTTCTTGCTTGGCATTGGTGTAGGCCTCATGGTGACCAGAGTACATGGCCATCTCCTTGCGAGTAGTGCCATCGATTTGGAAGACTGTGAGACCTGTCCAAGCATCCTTGGTATCTGCTGGGGCTGAGGTGTCGGTGCCGTCATCTGTGTAGAGGCGGCTTTTGCCATTGGCTTGATGAACCATGGTGACTTTGACCTTATCAAGGTGTTCGAGTGGCACTGGGCAATCCTTCGGGAGGTGCTCGATGTGCATGCGGCCTCTTCTTGGGATCACATGATGTCGGATGAGACACCCAGCTCTGATTTCCCAGTAGTCTGTGGTGCGACCAGTGAGGCTGATGTAGCCTTCTTCATCGACATGCCAGCCTTCAGGAAGCCAGCCAGGATCAATGTCTTCAACCACAAATCCTTGGTCGCCAATCGACTCATTTGGAGGCGGTGTTGGTGCTGGTGGTTGGGGTGCTTCATATGGTTGGCTGTGCTGGTGATGGCGGTTTCGCCATGGTGCGAAGCTGATTGTCTCTTGTCTGCTGAACCTCAGTCGTTGCTGTTGGAAGGTGAGATGTCGCCTTCTGGAATGGGAATCTGTGCGCCGTCGGGTTGGTCCTCTGTCTCGGCGGATGCCGCTGGGGATGCCTGAGCTTTGGCGGCTGGTGCCTCTGGTGCCGGGTCTGGGGAATATTCAGGAGGTGCCGGTGACACTGACAAACGAGGTCGCTGTCGTGGGGGAGCCATTTCATGATCACTGTCGGACTCCAAGTTGTCACTGGTGCCATGTTCATCGTCTTCAACATCAGCCAGGTGCTGTCGATTAAGCCGATGCAGGTCATAGTACCTGGTGACTCCACGGGATCGCAGCTGGCGAACTGTGTTGAGGGCAAGTTGTGTGTCATCAAGTGCATGATCCATGCCCTTGACGTCGGCCCTGATGTGATGTGGTGCACATCTGATCAGCTGCGTCTTGAAGGCGAGCCAGTAGACGGAGACCTGTGGAGTGTCAGTGTCCTGGTGGTACTCCTTCATCACCACATGTGCAGGACCAAGCCATCTGATCTTGACCAAGTCAGGCTGTCGTGCATCACGCCAGAACCAAACACGCTGTCCCAGACTGTATTCGGCATTGGTTCCCTTGTACTTCATTTGGAGAGCTCGTCGAAGGCGGCGATCAGCATCGGCGTCCAGCAATGCCTTCTTGGCACTATGCCGCTTGTTGAGCATGTCCTCAAAAGAGGCGTTGCCACCAAAGTGTGAAGGGTGCACGGCAACGGACAGAAGATCGCCGGCAAGGCTAGGTTGATAGCCGAGAACCCATTGTGAAGGGCTGAATCCAGCGACCATCGGAGTGGCATTGAGCTGTGGCACAACGAAGGTGAGCGCCTCTTTGATGCCTTCAACGTGATCAACCTTCACATCGTCGAGGTAGATCTCAACAGCTTTTCGGATCAAGGCATGGCGTCGTTCGACGATGGCGAGGCGTTCATGGGCTTCACCTGGTGCCACTTTGTGTTGTAAACCGTGAGCTGTGGTCCATTCATCCATGATGCCGCTGAGCCAAGGTCGTCCTTCATCTGTCAGGAGCTGGCCAGGAACACCAAAGTGTGCAATCCAGAAGCGCTCAAGGGCCTTGATGTACTCCTCGGACCGTTCGGATCGAAGGAGGCAGGCAGCAGTGTAGCGAGTGGCCATGTTAACAATGCTCATGATGGCATACTTTGTGGAGCCCCTTCGAATCCAAAACACATCGGCCTGGACAATCTCATTGAAGTTCTGTGCGTTCTGGGTAGGTGCAGGTGCAGCATCGCCAGGCTTCTTATACTTGGCGCAGGCCAAACACTTGTAGCTTTGAGCAGCTTGCAGGATCGCTTCCGAAGCACCTCGGGAGGACAGCAACTCAGTCAGAGTGGTCGGTGAAGGATGTCCCAAGTTGCGATGAAGACGCTGAACCACTCTGATTGCTTCCTGCTTCGTTTCCGCGCTCAGTTTCACTAGAGCGCCTGTCAGCTCTTTCTCCTCGGTGGCGAAGGCGTAGTCCACGGTGTAGTGAGCATGCTCCCACAGTGTTGCAGGCTCATCAATGCTCAAGGCTCCAGCAAGACTTGTCGCCAACCCAGGTTGAAAATCTTCCATGTAACGGGTGCGAGAGCCAAGACCTTGTGCAGAGCCTTCGAGGCGGCAGTGCTGGTGATCGTGGAGACATTGGAGACACATAGTTTCCTGCACAGCCTTCTTGGTGGTGAGGATCCGAGTGTTCTTGAGAACAGGTCGCCATTGATTGTCCTCATCAAGGCACTGAGCTCCATACCGACATTGAGAGAAATCGGTCAGTCGACCAGGTAGGTCACGAAGTGCTCGAGTTTGCCATGACTTGGCATCGCGAGGCTGCTCGATGTGAGCATGTCTTCCTCCCTTGACCTGTCGAAGATAGGCCTCGCGGACAAAGCATAGATGTCGGTCATGATGCCATTGGCGAGCAGCAACGAGAGCTTCCTGCTGGTGTGAAGTTCTCCGGCCAAGTGACTGCATGCGAGACCATAACTTGCAGACCGGAGTGAGCAGGAGTTCTTCTGGCATCTCGTCATCGAGGAGGTCCAAGAACTGCTGTTGGTGGTCGAGGGAGTCGAAGTTCCAGCCAGTGTCCAGGGAGAACTGCCTGGTTTCCATGCCAAAGACTGCTGCCATCTCAGAAGTGCGGGCCTTGCCACAGTATACTTCCCATAGGACCCTTGGTCTTGGTGGTCGATGCAACTCCTGAGTGAGGTAGGCAGACATGTCGTTGATGTGGGTGGTGAGGTGCACATCCATGGTTTTCAGCAGTTGACCCTTGATTCGGTTGGTCTGGTCATCCTTTGTCACATGTCCATCGTGGACTTGGAAACTGTGCTCTTCCTTGACAAAGTCGGGGAGGTAGAAGCCATCCTGTTGGTGGACATCAGGATCATTGGTCTTCAGTTCACACTGTGGCTTGCTGGGGTCGTACTCAATCAAGTCGTGCTCGAAAGTGAGGGGCCACAGATACTCTCCCTGTCGACCGAGCGTGGCCGGTTGCCAAGGTGATCCGCCAATCTTGAGCTTCTTGTTGGCGAAGTCCATTGTCATGCCCAAGGCTTCGATGATGGGTCTTCCACACAGCAAGGGCGTGTTGCCCGGCAGCAAGAACACTTCAACTGTTCCGTACTTGCCATCAACGAAGACCGGAAGGTGTGTGCTCCAGTCGGACCATTGTGAGGCGTCTCCACCGAACTGAAATCGTCTCCGGCCTTTTGTCATCTTGATGAGGTCGGTGGGATAGCCAAGGTCCTCATAGTGCTCCAGCAGCTTGCGAAAAGGGCCATAGCCTGAAAGGAATGCACTTGCACCAGGATCCAGCATAGCGCAGTCAGGTCACTCCAAGCCGTTGGCGTCTTGGAAGGTGAGGAGAGCAAGTTCCTCGGGTTGAGCTGCAAATGCCATGCCTTCCGTAGGAGCGGGCCTCTTCGTTCCAGCCTTGGAGGCTGAGCTGCTTGAACCTTGTGGGCAGTTGGCCGCCCAATGACCAGGTTGGCCACACCTCAGGCAAGTGAGTGCTGCACGAGCTCTTCCTTTGGGATCTGCTTTGCCAGCACCTTGAGGTGGGTAGCGAATTGTCGTCTTGGCTTTGGACTTGCCAGACTTGGTGCCTCCCTTCCCCTTCCCTTTTGAGCGCCAAGAGGAAGGTGATGATGTAGCATTGGATGCGGGAGACACAGGAGCTTGTGAGCCATCGGTCAAAGCTACCACTGGAAGATATCCTCTGGCCATCTTCAGCTCTTGGAACCGTTTCCGAGCATCTGTGTACGAGGCAAAGGCGTGGTCGTACTCTTCAGCCATGTGTTGAGGGCTGACAGGCTCGGCATCGGGATCAGGCCACTGTTCTTCACCATAGTAGCCTGCTTCATTGTCAAATTCGTCGGGCTCCTCAGGCTCGTAGTCATAGTCCTCGTAGGAGGCGTAGGTGAGTTCTTCAGTCCAATCACCTTCATAGTAATCTGACTCCCATGGCTCTTCATCGTCATAGTCGTCGGCCATGTAGGCACGGTTGTTGCGCCATGGTGCAAAGCCAAATCGCTTGCGCTCCATCGGCCAGGTTCCTCCCTTGTAGTCTTGACCGAGCAGCAAGTAGAGGGCCTCTATCACATCTTTCTTTTCCAAACTCGGGGCCTTCAGCGTCACCATCTGTCGTTGCTCCTTGGAGATGGAGGCACGTCGCAACAAGTGCCAGCCCTGAACTGAGGCCGGAAGTTCGACCTTGTGTTGTTGGAGCTTCCTGTAAGCCTCTTCGTGGTCGGCCACGAACATCAACAGAGTCTGGCCGCTTGTACGTTGGAGCAGGTTGAAGTAGCCCTCAAAGTCGTTGGGCAACTGAACTCGGGCATCGTATTGGAAGTTCGCATCCAACGTAGCAATGATGCGGTCGAAGGATGACTCCTTCTCCAGCTCCTCGAGGCTCCAGTCCTGGAAAAGTCGCCAGGTAACTCCTTGGAAAGATCCAATGATGTTCAGGACGGACTCATTGCCTCTCTTGGTGAGCATCATCTTTCGATGATAGAGATGGATCCGCTGGCGCCATTCTTTGTAGTCGGCCGGTTGGCCTGAGAAGGTGGGGACATAGCTATCCCTCAGGTCTGTGTAGCTTCCTCCACCGTCTCGTGAGCCGGAGGGTGCCTGGGTCTCAGTCTTCTTCGGAGGCGGCATGGTAGGATAGAGCTCTTCAATCACCTGCTTGGTGGCTGGGGTGTTCAGGTAGCCAGTGCACGAAACCAAGCAAAGGTGGAGGCAAACACAAAGAGCTCTTCGAACCGTCCGTGACCCTGGTCTTATCCCGGACCTTCGGCTCGTCGTCGCGAAGTGCGCAGCGGAGCCCCTTCACAGGGCTCCGCTACCAATGTAGAAACAGCGTCCAGGCAAACGAAGTCCCGAACCAAGTGAAAGCGAGGTCGAAGCGGAACGAACCGCAAACACGCGCCGGTTTTCCTCAAGCTTTGAGCCCACCCAGCTAAGGGCGGTACGAGTTGGTTCAAACCTGATCGCTCAGCGAGCGATTCACACAAAGAAACATTCATCGATGCATCATGTTTCTGGCAAAATTGCTCAATTCCTACTATAGTATATAACTCTGCCTACTAACCCAGCAAAGAAAACATTTATCAAAATTTATCAAAATGGTTTCACACCACGAAGTATACTAGAGTTCTACGAGATTCAAAGAATTATATATAAGAAATAATCATATATTATCGATACCACCTGCGACTTGTAAGTCTACAAAGGCCTCCATGTCGGAGACCAGTTGCTTTCGGTGCTGGTAGATGGTATTTTGTCCTTGAACCCACGGAGGCACACCTTCCAATGGGCAAGTAGTCATGCCATGTTGGAGACCAGCCTATTAAGAAGGACTATATATGGAGGTCGACCCACCGGACTTGCTCGATGGTAACTGGCGTCAGTCAATCTCGCAGCTGCTTCGTGAAGTCGAAGTGACATGGACCGCATCCAGCGAGCAGCCTGTGGCATCAGCACCTGTGGAGCCAAAAGGACGTGGGATGAACAGTGGTGCCAGTGGTGCCAGTTGAATGGGGGAGACGGGTAGGGTGACGGGTGAGGTGACATCCACCGCACCCTTTTGAACGTCATGTGTCGTCGATGTTGGGGCAACTCGTCGAATGTTACGCTTCAGTTCCAATTCGGACACCTTATAAGACGCCAAAAGGACAGCAGCCCGGCACCTTGAATACAAGCTTCTCAAGAGCAATCATGGACACCTTGAGTTCCATGGACACCTTTGTGACGGTCACACCCGTGTTCTGCTCTAACAGAACCGGCGCTGAAAAAACGAGCGCGATGAACACGATAAGGACGGCTTATTCGGACCTCTGTCCTTCGTGATCGTCGCATATCGTCTCTCCTTTCGGTTCGGTGGGACGACCGGGGGACGACCAGGGGTGGTATAGGGTCCAGTCGCACCGAACCGGAGGATACGACTTGGAGCGTCAGATCCTATAGGGACTGGCTTCACTCATGGCGCGCTTCGCACCTCCCAAGGCCATCACGGCGCTCATGTCTGGCACTTGGGCGGCGGCCAGCTTCGCCGCCGCCAGTGGCAATGGAGGCGCTGGGTGCCAGGCTGCCTCGCGCCAGGCAGCTGCGAAGGCAGATCTCCTGGAGTGAATGGGTGGGAGAAGGATAGAGACACTCTGGGAAATCAGTTCACCACCTGTTTGGTATTCGGACACTTCAGCCCGAGCGATGGCCGCTCATTCCACAAAACATGCGACTGGCTTCGACCATATATGGCACATGCACCATACAAAGAAGTGGTCATCCGAAAATAAGGACCATTCATCCATTTCCACTCTTTCGGGGGCGTGTAACATCCCTCCAAAGGATGATGATGATAGGAGCCGGCCCACAGAACCCACCAAGGAGACATGCAGATGGTATTCCCGGTGCTTCTGATCCACTTCCAGCATTGTCTGAGGGACAGCATTGACGGAATCTTACCCTTCGCCGTTCGTACTGCCAAAAACATATCCAAAAGATCGCTAATTCTATGATTCATTCTGTTTCTGAACCATGCCATTTGGATTTGAACTCCTCTTTATATAGGGCGATTGATGAATCAAGAGTGTAGGTGGGTCAATGTTTGATTTTGATGGCCGACCCTTTGCACCGTCAGTCTTATGCCTTTTGGCGTACATGAAAATAGGGAGACACCTATAAGCAATTCCACTGGGAACTGGATGTTTTCTATTTGGGAACCGGGTGTCCATTCTGCAGCCGTTTCTCAAATGCCCGTGCTACTGCATTGGCCACAGAGCCCCTCAAGTCACTGTGAGTCCCTCTCAGAGACTTCATCCAGTGACAGCGACATCGAGTTTGGACCTTATTCAACCCTTCACTGTAAGGTTGTGTTTTATTCAATCCATTTTTGAGGATGTGTAGACATGTGCAGCTCTCCAAGCAGCAAATAGCTGCATTGGAGTTTGGCACCTCTTTTGCTTCAGCAGCACGTTAGCGCCCCAGCAGGTTTCAGTATATTTGCACCCCAATTTTCTTTCCACAATGAGGCTTGGAGGAGCTACTCGGGCCACTCAGGGCACCGCTCACGATCATGACCGACTGCCCATTTCCTACCTTTTTTGACACTGGTTTGCTTCCTTTCAGATTTTTCATATCACCAAGGCTCTGGAGCAGAAGCCCCGCTCTTGAGTTTGGAGATGTTGCTGAAGGGGGCAGGCATTCTTGATCAAGTCAAACATTTGCGCCCTTGCGGCATACAAATTCATAGTATTTCAGAGACAGAGTCACAGAGTGGTATAGTTCTGCGAAAGTGTTTGAGGTCTGCCTGTGACAAAGGAAAAGGCCCGCAGACGTTCATTCGGGAGAACTGGCCACATGTCCCGCTATGTCCTCAAATGCGTTTGTTTGGCCAGCCAACTTGCTTTCTAATGTCTTGGCTGAGGGTGCAAGATGACCTCTTCACACGGGATGCCAGCCATTTGCGCAACAAGGCTTGGTGGCCAGTCAAAACCAGAGTTCGTGTCTAATCTCAACTCAATTGATCTCATTGATCCCATTGCTCACTGACAGGTGGTGCTCTACACAGCCGGCTTCCCGTGCAAAGCCTTTTCCCCTCTGAGAGTTCACACAGATTGGCTCAACGATATTGAAGCACGCCAGTTTTACAAAGTTCGGGACACCATTCGCGACATTCAACCTTTGGTGCCTCTTCTGCTTACAGGGATTCAGTGTCCTTTATTCGCTAGACACCTTGTACCTGTTTAAACTGTACACATTTCTGCGCTTTCCAACTCTCAGGTTGTCCTCCTGGAGAATGTACCAGGAATCTTGCCAGTCATCGATGAGGTGAAGGAGGAGCTGGGAAAATGTGGCGATTATGAACTCACGTTACCAGTGATAGACCCGACGCATGTCTGATTTACACGGTGACATTTAATTGATTGTTGCATTCACGGCCGGGCAAGGGTTCAGTGTCTGAGGATGGACCTGGGCGTCAACATTTCAAGACAGCGGATCTACTTTGTAATGATTCGCCGGGATGCATTGGCAACCACAGATTTGGACCAATCCGCCAAAACGACATTGGATTTGTTGAAGAAGAGCCAAAGAAAACACATACCATGGTCAGGTCCTCAATCTCTTGACCTTTCATTGGTTTTACTTAACCATGCAAGCCTGCGAGGTCGACCTTCATGCTGGACGATGCGAGCAAGGATATCAAACTCATCAAGCAACGGTTGGAGGTTCGTCGTACCCATGTTGAGAATACTGTACTGGAAAATTAAAGTATATGCTTGTGTGTGATTTGCTGCAGGCCAAGGAGAAAAAGTTGGAGGGCATGAACTTGAAGTCATACAATGTTTGCAGCAGGTTTGACTTGTAAATCAAAGTGTGCCCAGTCAAACTCTCGCTCACAAGGCCTTCCAAGAAACAACCGAAGTGGCGCACTACTCATTGGCAGTTCATGAAACACCATAAGGTGCCATGACTGACTGTCAAGAGTCGTGACATGTGCACTTACAATTTGTGGTCAGGTGAACATGCAGAAGGTGCACAGGAATCTGATTGCCTATGGTGGGCCCCGAACGTGCGGACTTACTGAACGTTGCACACAGGCTTGAAACACCACAAATCATACAATTTGGAAGTGCTCATTCATGTGCAGGCAATGGCTATCATGACCCAAACCAAGTCCAAGTGGGTATGCTTGGACATCAGCCAAACTCTTGGCCGAATGCCTACACTTCTCAGCTTTGATGACCCGTTCCCAGTCGTTACGTACGGCCCTCAGCAGTTAACACTGCTGACAACTAGTCTTTGAGAGTTTCATCAGGCCAAAAGGCCGCTACTGGCTTCGGCATTCACGCCGCCCACTGACTGGTGGGCAACTTTTTTCCTCCGCTGCAGCATTAGTCACTGCACTGTGACTGTCTACTATGTGAGACAAAATCCTTTTTCACTGCATTGCAGGTATTGAGAAAATATGAGAAAATGATGCTGCAAGGGTTCCCCGTTCATCGGCTCCAGTTCAACAAATTGAGCGAGCAGGATCTCCATCCACTCCAACAAAAAAAGGTTGTCAGTTTTCGTTTGTTGCAGCCCCTGCAGGATATCAATGATCTTGCTGGCAATGCAATGCACTTGAGAAGCATGGCCGCTGCTTGGTTGATCGCCTTCAAGGCAAGTGAAATTAGAGGTGAACCTTCAAGCAGCCTTGAGGTTCCTGGGGTTCAATCATGCACAGGCCTGTGACATTGGGGTGCTGAACCGCTTTTGCGCAGCAGTGGAGAAGGACTGTTGCTTTAAGTTTTTGCAGCTGGTGATTTGCATGGGGTTCCAGGAGCTTCGCTGAATTAGATCGGCCCAACGCTTTCAGCCTCATGCTCAGTGCACTCTGCCCTCTCACCTGACAACAAAAAGGTTTAGTTGGGAAAACTGTGTGAGGCAGCTTGAGCCTGCAATCCTTCTACGTGGTCCTGCCAAGTGTTATCTTTCAGAGCTTCAAGACTTGATGTAGTCTCTCATGTGTTTTTCACTTTCTCTCTCTCTCTCTCAATTGTCTTCGTGGCTTCAACGCAGTCGGTTCCAAGCCTTGCGTGGCCTGTAGTGGCGCTGAAGAGGCGTCACTGACCTGGGCCATGGATACCAAAAAGGAAGAGGACATCAAAGATGAGAAACTTATGAAAGAAGATGTTGGTTCAGCATCACAACCCAATGCCCGGGAGTTGATTTGGGAAGCCTTTCTCAAGGTTCAGTCCTTAGGACCTGGGGTTTGTCTTGAACACCTCCAGCTTCATTTTACCTTCACTTCCGCTTCACTCAGGTCACCGAGGACAAGAACCTTGGAGATTGGCTGCAAGAGAAGTACTCAGAACCAAACACGTTCCTTCGCGCCATCGAGCGAATTGTGTGGGGACGCGATGGAGCCCAAAGTTGTCCCGATTTGGTGACCCTCATCCCCAACTCTGATGCACCTGAGCTATTTGTTGGTCTTCATCAACTTGACTACAGCAAAGACGCAAAGAGTGGATGTGGCCTACCATCATTGATTTGTGTTTTCTTTTATGGTCTAATATACACTTCTTTGAACACTATGGAACTATCCTTTCCATGTTTGTTCTTTTGCAATCCAACTTAGACTTCCCACACATGTCAACGTTGAAGACGCACATGCGGTTTATCATCTTCAACAACTTCGACCCTTTTCGCGAACCCTTACAAGTGAAGTTCCAAGATTGTGCGGATCGTCGTGTCGACAACTTCACCATCCAATATATTGATGGATTTGCCAAAGGCTTGATATGTCAGGGCATTGTTGGGCTGATTGACCTGCTTGAATCTTGAGTAGCAAATAGTCTTAGAGTAATATGTTTGTTGTTTTTGCCTACTTTCTACCTGTCTCCGTTCTGATCACTGTTTGGTTTCATCTTTGCAGCGCAAGGAGTGGCCAGAGGACGACCTCAACTCAGCCGAGTTGTTACCACTTTTGCTGTCTTTGAGATTCTTCAAGGCTTTGTATCGGCACCAAACAGATCCAACAAAGTACATCTATGATGCATTACGTCAAGGGCTCAAATGATTATTTCATACTAGACTGTTTGTTTGCATGCAATGAGAGAGTGCGTGAGCATGTGAACCGGGTGAGCAGTCGAGTATATGAACGAGTTCTATATGTCATGCCATGTGTGTGCACTTGGAATTTCCGCTGAGGTGTGGGTCATGAGACCTCAGAGAAACAGGCGCCGTCGGCCTTGGAATTGATGGGCCAATTCAAAAAGGCGATGGCGCAATTGAGAGTCTCTACCGGGAAGACACATCCAACACCAACAGCTTTGAACATGTGCATTGCAGAGTTCAACAAGCTGGTGCAGCGCAAGTATAAAGTCGATGGTCCAAAGAGAAAGGTGATCTTGAGTCTCCTGCGAGTACCCGAAGAGTTTGTGGACTTGCTATCAGGTCATTACGACAAGTTCAAGCACTCCACTTCAGGCGTGCCCCGCTCCGCTTGCATGTATCAAGAGGAAGTCTTACCCGAGTCTTACCCTTAAAAAATACATGTGTTTTTCCCGCAGCACCTTTGTTCAAAATAACAATAGTGAACAAGAAAGCTGACTTATCAGCATGTTGAAGTGCAATTC